TATGACAAAATTAACCCTCATTCAAAACAAAAATATTTATTTGAGCTTATTAAGTGGCTTCACTAGTAAAGGAAAATATTATTTTTGATTAAAAAAAATTTAGGTAAGGAGTGACTCCCCCAATTCAGAATCGAGCATATCTAATATCAATTATGATTTACATAAGAATTTACAAATTGTCCACCAAGAGTGACGATGGTAAGATTCAAACTTGGCCTTATAAGCTCAAATTCATGAATCTTAACCATTTGTACAAATACTCATTAACGAATAGAAACTACCTTATAATTATTATAAAATAAAAAAATATTTTATGTTGGGAAACTTTTGAAGAGATAAAAAGCATTTAAAGTGGTTTTGAGAGGTTGGAAGGACTAGGAGAGAAGAGGATGAAAAAGAAAATTGTGGCAGCCCAAGTCGTATAGGGCAAAGAAGAGAGTGGGCGCCGCACTGGTCTCCAATCTCCGTTCGAAACTATCACACGATCTGTCCCATGACCCTCACAACGTATTTCATTCCCTGCCCACAATAATAAAAGCGCCATTAAGTTTCCCAATAAACTTCCACCGCACAAAATCTAAGACGTGAACCTCACTCCATTAACATATTCATACTTAACTACTTAAGCCAACCCTATTTCTCTTGTGAGAAAAGTACACAAATAGTCCAATGATTATAGATTGTTACTTTGTTGAGCTCATTAACTATTATAATTTACAAAATAATCCATTGAATAAAACGTATTGCTCTGTTGACTCCTCTAACTATTAAAAGTTATAAAATAGTCACATATTATTCATATATTCTAAACTCATTTTTTTCATTAATGAATTAACGACTGTCTGAGCTGAAAGTTAATATGGACACTGTGATATGATAAAATCTTATCTAAAACCATTTAAGTTGTATTTTATAGATTGAATCTCTGTTTATATTATGTCGTCGAGTCAGTGCTTTAAACTTTATGTCGTCGAACCAGTGTCTGTCGTAACCGTTTTTTTTTAAAAGGAAATTTTTTAATTTGAAAACCACGTCATTTTTAATTTATTTCTTTTGATTGATTTTTAATTAAAAAAATAACATGAAACAAACCTCTCATTTCGAAAATTTAGAAATTATTTTACAAATAAAAAAACATGGTTCGAAGAGTCGCCACCAATCTTTGATTAGGGTGTGATTGGGCACCTAAAAACGTTGTCATTTTAAATAAAAATTGATTTAATTAAAACGACAAATTTACTGTCTACGTTACCAAAATCCAAGTTCGGGAGTCGGTTACATGTGGGGAAGGATTAGCACCCCCACAATGCCCTAAATCGGTACCTAGTCGATTAATTAATGTCTTTGCAACAAATTTCACAAGTTCGAATTTAATTTGATTTATGATCCTTTAAAACAACAAAAATGCAAATTTTAAAACCTTCAATAAGCAATAAAATAGGTTAAATTAAAATTACCTAGCCATTAAAAAGATAAAGTATATTCGATTATTTAAAAATATTGAGACCAAATCTTTAGGTCAGTTCTAACGACCTTTTCTTAACAAATTTAAATAACCGAACATTTCTTTTTCTTTCACTCCCTAATTTTAAAGTGAAAAATCAAATTTTTTAGTGATAATGACAGTATACACTTATAATTTAAAATCGTCAAGAATAACTTTCCTGTAAGTTAAGAAAAGCCATTTCGACAATTTTAAATTAAAAGGGTATTACCCTTAATTCGATTATGTAATTTGATTGAGTCATATACATAAGGCTAACATGCAAATATTAATTAAAAATAATAATTATCTACTTAATAAATATATTAAAAAATACTAAACAATATACCATCTTAATACAAAAAAAAATATTTACACGTACTATGTAATAATAAGTTATAAATTATAAACCATACATACTAACATATAATGTACAAATGTGACTTAATTATAAAAATAAAAACATAAAATGCCAAAGTAATAAATTTAAAATATATATATTTGAAATAATGACTAAATTTAAATGAATGTGAGATTAAACATGTAAATTAAAAAAACTAGTGGCCTAAATCAAAATATGCATAAATATAAGTCTATAACTAATTCACCCCTAAGATTCCAATGACTAACCTATAATTTTACCAAATATTTTTTATAAGTAACCTAAACTAAACCTAAGCTATCATTCACCCAAATAATATTTTACACAGCCGCACTTCTCCTCTCTACTTTCTCCTTCACGCCACACTGCTGAGAATCCATTATTCCACGCTTGCTTGGCCATTATCAACAATGGGTTTTACTCTGATCGCCCTAAAATCTCACATATTTTCTCTTCTAATCTCGATCTAATCACTAAAAACTTATAAGTAAACCTTAATTCCCCTTTTATTACAACTCCTAAACCAATGTATAGGGTCAACTAAACCCCTTCATACGCTGGCCAGTTCTTCGTTCTTCGCTATAGATCGGAGCCACTCTTCCGTGTACAACATCTATGGTGACCTAACGAACATAAGAACCGACCCTAAAGGTAAACTCCTCTCATTTTTAGTTTTGTTTTCTAATATCCCTTTATTCTTTTTATTTTTTTCTCTTAAGCTCTCGAATGGTGACTAATGGAAACCGACTCTTACATTCCTTGAATTCCAGCAATTAAAATAGCATGCAACTGTCGTTCATCGGCGACAATAACCTCACCTAAACGTGATAGGTTCCCGTGAAGGAACCCGAACATCTCAGGTAAACATCGCGCTTTCTCCTCTTCCTTTGTGTTTTTATCTATATACTTTTAAAAAAAACAAAATATAGGAGATTTTTGGAAATAACAAATATGGAATTTCTTTTAAAACAATATCATTGTTAATGCTTGTTTGGTTACTTCGAATGGTTTATGGTTCTCTGTTACTGCTTTTAACCAGTGTTTATGCTTATCTATCAATGTTGTAAAAAATGAAGCAAAAACGTATTCACCTTGGAATCAGTTTAAATAAAAAAACAGAAAATAAAATACAGTAGAAAAGTAAATTGAAAACCTTCAGATGTATCCTGCTTGGTATTACTTCTGTCGAAGAGAATAAGGAAAACTTTTACAAATTTCTCTCTTTCAACTAAGAAATTTCCGTCACTTGATGAGTGTTTTTTCCCCTCTTGTTGATGAGCTCCCCTTTCCCCTTTGAAAGTTCCTCTATTTATAATTGTTTCGAATCCACCTTTTCCTTTGATTAGTGCTGAAGCAGGTATCCCTAATCCCGTAATTTTCGGGATTTTTTCTTTATTTCAAAGGTTTAGGTAAACTTTTAATCTTTTGTTGACCTTGATTTTGATCCACTCACATTTGTTGAGATGGCCAGATGATGACAGCTTCTAGAGGCATTTGGTGGTGGCTCTATGTTGGCTTGGCAGTTCGGCGAAAATGATTCTGAATGGTTATGTAATTGGACTGGCCTACAAAATATGTAAATTATTAAATTATTAGCATTAATAATAATAATATAATAAATATATATATATTTTTAATCCCGATCAAAAACGGGTGTCTACAGCTGCCCCTCTTTGCGCATTCTTGTGTTAACAAGAATAGGGAAAAGATGAAAAAGACAACCAGTTTTTGTCCAGTCTTCCTTCGTTGTTAGATTGAACAAGTTCTTCGCATTATGAACTTCTTCTCTCTTTTGGATGAGTTTTTCTCATTATGAACTCTTCACTGAAAATGTTGATCCCTCAAGCGAGGCGTCCCTGACTCGAAATGCTGTGAATCGAGTGATAGGTCGAACAAGCTCTTCTCATTATGAACTTCTTCTCCCTTTTTCGGATGAGTTCTTCTCATTATGAACTCTCCATTGGAAATGTCAATTCCTCAAGCGAGGTGTCACTGATTCGAAATGTCATGAATCGAGTGATAGGTCGAACAAGCTCTTCTCATTATGAACTTCTTCTCCCTCTGTCGGATGAGTTCTTCTCATTATGAACTCTCCATTGAAAATGCTGATCCACCTCTTTTTGTGATGGAACCAAACCAAGGTTGAACAAGTTCTTTTTATTATGAACTTTCTCCTTTAGGACGAGTTCTTCTCATTATGAACTCTTCACTGGAAATGTTGATCCACCTCCTTCTGCGGTGGATCATAATTGTTATTGACTCTCTCTGAATTTCTGTCAAAACATTCAAAGCATTTCAATGAATATGAATGAATGAGCATGCTCCTATTTATAGATGCCTATTAATGTATGCATGATATCATTTTAATATTATGAGCTTTGTGGTCTTGTAAATCTTCATTTCAAACACGTCATTCAACCTTTCATTTGTACCCCACACTTTGCTTGGGCTATTTCTCTTGTTCCCATACAAATCTTTTCTACTTCCTTTTGATATGTTCATCTTTGTCAACGTATCAAAATATCAGTGTTTTCAATGTGCTTTTTCTCAGCTCACATGCATTTTCTTTGGTCATGTCTTACCCTACTCTCTTCGAGTATTAGGGTTAAAATTCCTGATATGGAAGTATTAATTCAGAGTAATACCAAGAAGTCTTTTATTTATTTTTAATGCCATGTCAATCTACTTATAAGAAGAATGAATAAAATTGAGACTTGAAATAAAAACTTTAAATTCACTGACAAGGAAATGAATTTACAAAGTTATGACAATCACATAAATAGTGGAAATTTATAACCACAAGTCAAATGTCCCTATAGAACATTAGCATGAGTGTTCCTGAATCAATCCATTTGATATAACTATTGAGTTGAGCTTCTGTCTGAAGGATTTCAAGGTTTGCCAAAAGTTCTGTAAATGTGAAGTTTCTCTCAAAATATCAGACTTTCGAGAAGATTTAGCTGCCTGATGCCTAATCTCAAAATGCCTTTGAGCCGCCATTTCAGATTTTCAACTCAAAGTCTTCCTTTGGTTTCAAGATGTCCTTTGTGGATTTTCATCTTGAACCCTCCTTCTTCATTTTTCTTTCTTTTTTTTTCTTTTTTTTTTCTTCTTTTTTTTTTCATTTTTTTTTCTTCAAGCATAGTACTTCTTAACAGAGTCTGAGTTTACCGGATTTCTCAGTTTTTCCCCATCCATCTCTGCTAAAATCAATGCTCCCCCAGAGAAGGCCTTATTGACAACATATGGACCTTCCCAATTAGGCATCCATTTTCCTCGGAAATCTTTATGAATTGGCAGAATCTTTTTTAGCACTAGATCACCCTCTCGAAATTCTCTAGGATGAACCTTCTTATCATGAGCTCTCATCATCCGTTTCTGATACATCTGACCGTGGCAAATAGCTTTTAATCTCTTTTCTTCAATGAGATTCAATTGGTCAAACCGAGCCTGAACCCATTCAGCTTCATCCAACTTCACCTCTTTCAGAATTCGAAGTGATGGGATTTCTATTTCCACTGGCAAGACTGCCTCCATCCCGTAAACTAAAGAGAAAGGCGTTGCCCCTGTCGAAGTTCGCACTGTAGTACGATATGCATATAAAGCAAAAGGTAATTTGTCGTGCCAATCTCTGTAAGTCTCAGTGGTCTTTGTGATGATCCTTTTAATATTTTTATTTGCTGCTTCCACTGCCCCATTCATCTTTGGACGATAGGTCACTGAATTAGAATGCTTTATCTTGAACTGAGTACAAAGTTCTACCATCATTTTATTGTTCAAATTGGTGGCATTATCTGTGATGATTCTTTCTGGCAACCCATACCGGCAGATTATCTCTCTCTTTATGAATTTGCAAACTGTAGATCTTGTGATATTTGCATATGAGGCAGCCTCAACCCACTTAGTAAAATAATCAATTGCCACAAATATGAAGCGATGTCCATTCGAAGCCTTTGGTGTAATTGCCCCAATGACATCCATGCCCCACATAGAAAACGGCCATGGTGCAGTCATCACGTGCAAAGGTGACGGAGATGCATGGATCTTATCACCATAAATTTGACATTTGTGACATTTTCTTACATAATCAACACAGTCTGAATGCATAGTGGCCCAATAATATCCATATCTCATGATCTTCCTGGCCATAGAAAGCCCACTTGCATGTGTTCCACATATCCCTTCATGCACTTCTTCAAGTATACTTCTCGCTTCTCGGGCATCTACACATCTCATCAAAACTTGATCACTACCCTTTCTGTACAAAACTTCCCCATCTAATACATATTCAGCAGTCATCTTCCTTATTGTCTTTTTATCGATCTCAGATGCATGTAGTGGGTAAATTTGATGCTTGATGTATTGCAAAATGTCATAATACCATGGACGATCATCTACCTCTTCTTCGATATCATAACAGTGTGCAGGGGTTTTATATATTTGCATTTTAATTGGCATCATATCAACTCTTCTATTTGCTTGGAACATTGTAGCCAGTGTGGCCAAAGCATCTGCCATTTGATTATCTTCTCGAGGGAGATAATTGAAATTGACATCTTCAAATTCTTTTACCAATTCAAGGATCAATCTTCGATATTCCACTAACTTTGGATCCTTTGTCTCCCATTCTCCTCGCAATTGATACACCACTAATGAGGAGTCTCCATATACTTGGAGCACTTTGATTTTCTTTCTATAGCTGCTCTTAATCCCATAGCACAAGCTTCATATTCTGCCATATTGTTGGTGCAAAAGAACTCCAATCTGCTTGTAAAAGGATAATAGACATTTTCCGGGGAAATCAGTATCGCTCCAATTCCTTGTCCTAAAGCATTAGATGCCCCATCAAAATACAACCTCCAGGATTTATCATCTGAAATTGTTTCCTCCTTGGTTGTAATGCACATCAAATCCTCGTCTGGAAAATTAAAGTTCAAGGACTCATAATCATCTGAAGCACGACTTGCAAGGAAATCTGCTATGGCACTCCCTTTGATTGCTTTTTGATTCACATATACAATGTCAAATTCTGATAACAACATCTGCCATCTAGCCAATCTACCAGTTAAAGCCGGTGATTCCATTAAATATTTCAAAGGGTCAAGCTTAGATATCAACCAAGTAGTGTGGTATAACATGTATTGCCTGAGCCTTCGAGTAGCCCATACCAAAGCACAACATAGCTTTTGAATTGGCGAGTATCGGATCTCACAATCGGTGAACTTTTTGCTTAGATAATAGATGGCTCTCTCTTTCTTTCCAGATTCGTCATGCTGCCCCAACACACATCCCATCGAATTCTCAAAGACCGTTAGATAAAGGATCAATGGTCTACCAGGAACTGGTGACACCAGAACTGGAGTATTAGACAAATATCTCTTGATTTTCTCCAAAGCCTCTTGGCACTCGTCATTCCAAACTTCGGGGTTGTTCTTTCGAAGTAATTTGAAAACTGGATCACATTTTTCAGTTAATTGTGAAATGAATCGAGATATATAATTTAACCTTCCTAGGAAACCTCGAATTTCTTTCTGAGTACGAGGTGGTGGAAGATCTTGAATGGCCTTTACTTTATCTGGATCGATCTCAATTCCTCTTTGACTAACCACGAAACCCAGAAGCTTCCCTGATGTTACCCCGAAGGTGCATTTAGTTGGATTGAGTTTCAATTGATATTTTCTCAGTCTTTGGAAAAGCTTCCTCAAGTTTTGAATGTGTTCTCCTTCAGTCCTGGACTTGGCAATCATGTCATCCACATACACTTCAATCTCTTTGTGCATCATGTCATGGAAAAGAGTCACCATAGCTCTTTGGTAAGTTGCCCCAGCATTTTTCAAACCAAATGGCATCACTTTATAGCAAAATATGCCCCACATAGTCACAAATGTAGTTTTTTCCATATCTTCAGTGTTCATTTTTATTTGGTTATACCCCGAGAAGCCATCCATAAAAGAAAACCACGAATGACCAGCAGTGTTGTCCACTAAAGTATCTATATGAGGCAATGGAAAATTATCTTTTGGGCTTGCTTTATTAAGATCTCTGTAATCCACACACATGCGAACTTTCCCATTTTTCTTTGGCACAGGGACTATGTTTGCGACCCATTCCGGATACTTTGCCGCTTGAAGAAACCCTGCATCAATCTGTTTCATCACTTCCTCTTTAATTTTTAATAACATTTCTGGCTTCATTCTTCTGAGCTTTTGCTGAACTGGCTTACACTCAGGCTTTATCGGAAGCTTGTGCACCACTATGTCTGTACTCAGTCCTGGCATATCTTGATAAGACCATGCAAAGATATCCTTGAATTCTCGGAGCAGATCTATCAATTCTTGCCTTATCTCAACAGAAAGTGTGCTGCCGATTTTAACTTCTCTCTTGTCATCATCAGTTCCCAAGTTTATAACCTCAGTTTCTTCCTGGTGAGGTAAGATTTGTTTGTCCTCCTTTTCTACCAGTCTTAATAGTTCGTTAGGAACATCACATTCTACCTCATCCTGACATTCATTGATTTCTTCCAAACATATGGACTGCTCAAAGTTTATCTCAGTATTAAATTCAGAAACATTCATGCTATTGATATTGTGACACCTGCAAATGGAAAAATTGAATCGAATATATATTTGAAAGGAGACCAAAATTTATGAAATGAATATAAAGAATGAAAATGAAAATGTAAATAATGATAGCCATTTAAGAAACAAAGACTGTCTTTTATTGAAAGCAAGTAGAGTTAACATAGCTGCCCTTATGAAAATTCCTTAATACTTGCGGGCACAAGTATAAGGATTAGTACTGGGTATTACTCTGAATTAATCTTAAAAACTACAGGGAGATCCTCTGCAGTCCAATTTTTCAGTGTTTCCCCTGGGAAGCAAGGACGGATTCCAGCCAAATATCTTCCCGCTTTATCATCCCCAGTTATCATGTTAATGACCAAACCCTCCATAGCTTCATTGAACAAGTCTCTGTCTTTCATCTGCTCTTCTTCATCAATTGCTCTGGCTAATTGTTGCTCTATATCAAAAACTCCCCCAAACTTGAAAGAGCTTTCTAGGGGAGGGAAAAGCATACGCTCCCATGGAATATCCTCTCCTTTCAGTCTAGCTCTTCTCACTTCACCTCTCTTTTTCATTTCTTTCTTTCTTTGCTGAAAATCAGGCTTAAATCCCAGCCCGAAGCGATCGTTCTTCATCATGACAAATTTGGGATATAAACTCCCTTGCAAGCATATACCGAGACCCTTTCCTGTCTTGGCTCCTTTTCCTAGAGTCTCTCGCACAGTCATCTTAGTACAATCAGATAAACGCGGGCGAGGAATCTTGTTTCCTTCAGCAATGAAAGTAGCGTTGACAAATTCTAAAGCTCTGAAGGAACACTCTAGGGCATTCTCATTCGTCTCAATATATGGGGCGTCAGTCGTCACAGAAGCAATAATCTCTTCCTCTGCCCCAATACTAATCAACTGGCCATTTGTCACGAATTTTAATTTTTGGTGCAAGGACGAAGGGACTGCCCCTGCAGAATGAATCCATGGCCTCCCAAGCAAACAATTATATGAGGGATTGATGTCCATCACCACAAAATCAATATTGTAGACAGTTGGTCCAATCAACAGTGGTATCTCTATCTTTCCAAGCACATCCCGCTGGGTTCCATCAAAAGCTCTAACAATGTTTTGGTAGGCCCTCATATGTGAGTTGTCCACCGGTAACCTCCGTAATGTGGCCATAGGCATAACATTAAGTGCAGACCCATTGTCAATCAAAACGCCTGACAAGACATGACCATGACAATGAGTTGTGATATTGAGGGCTTTTACTGATCCCATTCCACCATCAGGAATTTCATCATCAGTGAAAGTTATGTAGTTGTCAGCAGCTATGTGCCTACAATTCGATCCAACTTGTTCACTGATATATCCTCAGGCACAAATGTTTGATTGAGCACTTTTAACAAAGCATTCCGATGTACTTCTGAATTTATTAACAAATCTAGAATCGAAATCCGTGCTTGTTGCTTGTGTAGCTGTTCAACTACATTATACTCACTATGTTTTAAAAACTTCAAGAATTCTTGAGCTTGCGTTTCTGTTACCGGCTCATTGATCATTGGTGGGAGTTCATCATCAAATATCTTTTGCGGTACCACCACAGTTTTTCCTTTTGCCTTCATTTTGTCCATTTCTTTTGACATCTCAGGAGAATAACACCTCCCACTTCTCGTGAAGTGCCCGACTTCATTCACTATTCCAGTCATCAAGTTGCCTACTGGTGCTTCACCTTCAACTACCTTTATTTTCTCTAGCGAACCAGATTCTCTTATTAATGAAACATTGGCAGTGTAATTCCAAGGCACCTTGCGGGTGTCTTTAAACGAAAATGTTGAAGGAGCTGTGATTACAACTTTTGGCGTTGACGACCCAGAATTCATTGCTGATGATTTCACAGTGATGACTACTGGCTTGTTTGTTTTGTGAACGGGCTCAGAATTTTCTGTCATGAAGACATCTTTTTCTCTTTTTTCCTTATCTTCCTCAAAGAACTCTACCTCCTTATTATCCATCAATCTTTGTAGTAACCCCCTGAATTCAGGGCAAAGCTGAATTTCATGCCCTTCTTCTTGGTGATATTCACAATAGTGTTCACACTCATTGGTCTTTGGCTTAAGATCTTGTCGAATCATGCCAGCCTGATAGAGTTGTTGGAATACCCAACTGAAGGGAGATTTGATTTCATGAATGTTTGTCTTTGCCTTCCTCCTATTCTCCTCATGGATGGTATTTATCCCTTTACCTCCATGATTCGGTAGTGGGTGTGTTGATGCATCTGGTGAATCAAATTGTAATCCTCCTGTGTTAATCAGATTCTGCACTATCTTTTTGAAGGCATAACAATTCTCTATAGAATGACCAGCAATTCCATCGTGGTAATCACAATGCGCATTTGCGTCATACCAATGAGGGTACGGTGGTTGAAGAGGGGTCAAACGGTAGGGGCGTACCACATCTGCCTTGAATAACGAGGCGTATATCTCTGAATAGGGTACGGGTAATGGTGTGAAGGACCCTTCTCTCTCTCCTTACGAGGTCCCCTGAAATCATTTCTAGTGGTGTTCATGTCATTCCTCTCAGCCCTTGATTGGGTTATTGTGACACTATTTGCAGTATTCTTGTGGTAGACATTTGCACTGTTAACTTCATTTTCCTTTTTTCGGTATACAGGTTTTTTGGAGCTAGACCCTTCAACTACTTCAATCTTGCCACTTCTTATAGCATTTTCGATGAGCTCACCAGAGATGATCAAATCAGCAAAATTTTTGGTGGCATTTCCAAGCAAATGCCCCAAATACGGAGCTCTCAAAGTATTGACAAAAATTACAGTAGCCTCCTTTTCGAGTAAAGGGGGTTGGACCTGTGCAGCAACATCACGCCACCTTTGAGCATATTGTCGGAAAGTTTCATTGCTTCTTTTTTCCATATTTTGAAGAGTCCACCGATCAGGAATTATATCTGTAACATGGCGATACTGTTCTAGGAATGCTTTTGCCAAGTCCTTCCATGATTTGATATGAGCCCTAGTTAATTGGTTATACCACTTAGCGGCAGAACCTGTCAAACTGTCTTGAAAACAGTGAATCAACAGTTTTTCATCGTTCACATGGCCAGCCATCCTCCGGCAAAACATGGTTATATGAGATGAAGGACAAGTGGTTCCATTGTATTTTTCAAACTCGGGAACCTTGAACTTTATAGGGATAATCAGATCTGGGACCAAACTTAACTCTCTAGCATCAGACCCATAGAACGGTTCAATCACTTCTACCGATTTTACCCTTTCTTCCAATTTCTTCAATTGTTGATTTATCTGTTCATTGGCTTTTTCCTTCTCGGCTAACTCGTTCAGATCCGGGGTTAAATGCTCGGTATTAAATTCCCCTATCCTTACACCTGAAACAGGCTGATAAATGTTTGGGAATGTGGATCCCATGTGGTGCTGCTGATTCTCATTGCTAACATATACATGAGGTCGAGTTTCTTGAGGTACCGAAGGATGAGCGGATATATGTATAGGTGTGAAACCAGGAGGAGGACGGGATTCTGGTGTAAACCCTGGTGGGTACTGAGGGTCAGAAGTAAACCCCGCAGGATGTGATGCTCCAGCTCCAAACCCTGGAGGATGTGATGGATCTTGCTCGGATGACATTAGTTGGTCATCCACAATCCTTCCACCTGTAGCATGTTTCTTAAACATTTCTTCCATCCTTTGTAGTAGACCGGCTTGCGAGTTTGTTATCTCTGCTTCCATCTTAGTTAATCTCTCTCTCATTTCTTCTTGAGCTTGTTTTTGTTCTTGCTCAAGTTGGATCATTCTAGCTTCCATTTTCTTTGTTGTATTCCGAGTACCGTACGGGTGTGAGGTGAATGCCAGAATAACTACAATGATTGGAAATCATATTTTACATTATTTTTGGTGTTTTAATGAATGAATGCATGTTACGTGGTAATAAAATGATAAAAGTGCGAATAAAATACAGAAAACAATACTTAAACAAAATGCAAATGTATGCAGAAAGGCATTGATTCATAAGACGTGATCAATCTTTAGAACAACTTTCATTTAGGACAAAACCCTTATCATTACAAGAAAAATTTATTACAGAAAAGGCCTAGCTCTAGTGCTCAATTCCATTATCTCATTGACAAGCCAATTGACCCTTTTTCCTACATCTGATGCGGGACTTGTATAACTCTGGATAACTCTTGCTTGAATGTCCATCTCTCCCAATTGTCTTGCAACACCGCTTAATTGATTCATGGTTTCAAGGATTATGCTATTCACATTCGTTTTCCAGTCTTCAAAACGATCACTCGAGTTCTGCCACTGCTGTCGGGTACTTTCAACAGTACGCTCAAGACTAGAGATCTGTATTTGACAGCTTCGCAAGGCATTCTCTAAATCATTAACCTTTCTTCGCAAAGCATCATTCTCTTCGAGACTAACCCTTAAATCTGATGGCCAGCGCTGACTATTCTCTGTGAACAAGGAATTTTCAAGCTGCCGAATGTAAACACCATACTCTTCATTCTTTGCTTGAGCCTGAGTTAACTTTTCCTCATGCCTTGCTTCTATCTCTTGCATCTCTTGATTAAGGACCTCTATTCGTTCGTTCTTTGTTACACATCTTTGCATCCAAATGAACACTTCATCCTGTTTGCTTTTAAGCACATGATCTTTATGTTGTCTTTCTAATTTCAATTCTTTATTGGTTCGTCTCTTTTCAGCTTCGAGTTCACCTATTCTTTGTCCTCTAATCTCAAGTTCATTTTGCATGCTGTTCACCTCCATTTCGAACCCTTGAAACATATTATTTTTCTCAATTTCTAACTGTTCTATCCTTCGTTTTCCTTCCTTAATCTCGCTTAATCTACTATGCTCTTCAACTTTGAGCTCCTCAATATTAACTTGCAACCTTCGTACTTCAAAAGTGAGCTCCTCTTCTCGTTTCTTGCTCAAAGTATGCCTTTGTCTTAACTCTTTAGCTTCTTTCCTTTCGTTATTCAGTGCACTAGCCCAGGATTTCTTCTCTGACTCGAGTTCATGATCTTTTCTCTTCTTCTCCGCCTCTAGTTCTCTGACTCGGCGCTCTCTTTCGGCTCTGACATCCCTAACTCGACGATCCCTTTCAGCCTTGAGCTCCAACCTCCACTGTTTTGAAGTTTTTTCGAGCCCAACAATTCTTCGGTAATCATTTTGTAAGTTAGCAAAATTAGCCTCAACCTTCTCTTTTCTCTCGCGCATCAACTCAAATTGTTTATTATAAAACCCCTTATCAATGTCCAACACAAAATTCTTTTGTCTAAGAGCCTCACACTCTGCCTCCTTTCTGGCGATCTCTGCTTCGAATTCACTCTTAAGTATCTCCAACTTAGATGGTACGTGTCTGAATTGTGTTTCCAAAGGAATTACTTGATCACGATCCGCCAAGGGAATGACATCATTCTTTCTTGCCGCTCTCCATGCCACATAATCTGGTGTCAGCATGACCTCGGCTGCTACTAAATCGGTTCTAAAGATTGACTTCCATGCATCTGACATCACTCGAGCAGTTTTCTTGTAGTGATCTCCGTAGTACACAAATTCAGATGTCTTTAGACCGGATGTAATTGGGACGAATTGGCGTGCCCCAAATTGTCGTAATACCATTAATGGAGCATAACCTACTCCACCCCATAACCCTAATAGGGTTACCCAATCAGAATCTCCGCATTTGTACAATACATCAGCAAAAGCTAACCAGGGAACACGCCATACTATATCATGATCTTGTAGATTTCTGAAGAGTGAAATCCAATCTTTCCTGGTGAGATGCTCCGGCCATTCCTTGGTAAGGAAATCTTTTAATGGTGAATAGGCAATTGAAAACCGGCGACTGTACTCTCGATCCATCTTCCAGAAGTGGCTACGTATCCAAACAGTAAGCAACTGGATACACCCAGTGAAGCGACTACTCTCTGCTCTTCTGCAACTATTAAGCGCCCTGAATGTCTCTGCCAAAACCGCAGGAACAGGATTCACCTTCCTTTCCAAACGCTCGAATAAATCGACTACAGCGGATTCTACATGACAAAGAACTTTCGGGAAAATCACTAAACTGTAAATTCCCAAAGCAAACATCTCCATTCTCTTCTCAATATCGTCATGTTTGACAATAAGTTCTTTCAGGCATGGCCAAGGGAAACAATCAGACTCTCCTTTCTTTTGGATTCGATCAGCAACCCACTTCTCCCCCATTCCGGTAATTTTTGCAAGTTTGCTTTTGAAGGATTGCACTCTTGTGGCCTTTGAGTAAATCCTATCCAAATGTATCGTTTCGAAATGAAATAGGGAAGTGTACTCTTCCAACGTGGGAGTCATGTCTTCCTTGTTGAAGGTGAAACAACTATATGCTGGATTCCAAAACTGGATCAAAGCTTTAATCAGGGGTTCGTTTACTTTCACGTACAACAACAGGGCTATGTCACCATATTTTTGCCAGAAAGCATACTTCACATCAGAATTCCAACCCTCCCAAATTTCACGTAATTCTTGCAGATCGTTTTGCTTTAGACTGACCGGAGCAACTTCTGGTAGTACCGATATATAACCTTCAGTCAGACTATCGCCTTTCTTCATCTGAGTTTCCTCTGACCACGACCTCACTTCCGCGTTTTTTATTTCCTTGTTATGAAAGCTCTTGTCCATTTTATGATCACCTTCTACTTTGATGACCACTTCGTGAACCAACGCCTTTCTTTATGAATGATAATGTAATGCAACAGTAATAAAACACAGAAACACGAACGCAAATAAAAATGTGTTAGTATATATAATAAATAATCAAGAAAACAATATAATAAATAAAGCTTGAAAATATACATCCTAACCCTTATCCATATGGAATCTACCCAACATGATATTTACCCACATGCTTTGTCATTCAAAAAAAAAACCATAGCCACATTTTTCTAGATCACAGCCTTTGTACGAAAAATATAAAACCTAACCGCATGTTTTTCTAATTCTTATACATATTGCAAAAATAAATTCGAGGAAAAGGTTAGAATGAGTTTCCCCTTTGTGTCTGCGGACAGAGTTTCATCATAAGACGGGCAAAGTTTTGGTAACACTAACAGGGTCCTCAAATTGTCCTTTGCTGGTGCCCCCTTAGGCTTGCCAGACCCTCGACCCTCACCCATTATAGGCTTAAACGGGTCAAGTTCAATTCGAGAGGATACATTTCTTTATGTCCATGCGAGAAAACGCAATGTTTCACTCGTAAACATAAGGCATATGTACCCTAGAGGTTATTTGCTAAAGCCCATGCGGAGAAAAGCAATTTTTCTCACGTAAGCGTAGCGTTCACCTCTACCTAACGGGACAGAGCACAGTTAGAAGGCTCTAAAAATCAAAGGGTTATAGCGACAGTGGGGAAACTCATAATCCTTTGCCTCGATCCAAGAAAAGCAACATACTAAAGTGAAGGTCAGAAAACTGAAACATGTAAATCACACGTTAGTACAACTATTTATTCATTAATCAAATTACAAATTAAAATGCAAACAACAATTTAAAACAAACCAGGGATCAAAAACCAAATTAGAATGAATTTATAACTTTCATATGCAAAGATAATTGACTAATCGATTATCGGCCTGACTCTCTAAAAAAGTCCCCAGCAGAGTCGCCAAGCTGTCGTAACCGTTTTTTTTTTTAAAAGGAAATTTTTTAATTTGAAAACCACGTCATTTTTAATTTATTTCTTTTGATTGATTTTTAATTAAAAAAATAACATGAAACAAACCTCTCATTTCGAAAATTTAGAAATTATTTTACAAATAAAAAAACATGGTTCGAAGAGTCGCCACCAATCTTTGATTAGGGTGTGATTGGGCACCTAAAAACGTTGTCATTTTAAATAAAAATTGATTTAATTAAAACGACAAATTTACTGTCTACGTTACCAAAATCCAAGTTCGGGAGTCGGTTACATGTGGGGAAGGATTAGCACCCCCACAATGCCCTAAATCGGTACCTAGTCGATTAATTAATGTCTTTGCAACAAATTTCACAAGTTCGAATTTAATTTGATTTATGATCCTTTAAAACAACAAAAATGCAAATTTTAAAACCTTCAATAAGCAATAAAATAGGTTAAATTAAAATTACCTAGCCATTAAAAAGATAAAGTATATTCGATTATTTAAAAATATTGAGACCAAATCTTTAGGTCAGTTCTAACGACCTTTTCTTAACAAATTTAAATAACCGAACATTTCTTTTCTTTCACTCCCTAATTTTAAAGTGAAAAATCAAATTTTTAGTGATAATGACAGTATACACTTATAATTTAAAATCGTCAAGAATAACTTTCCTGTAAGTTAAGAAAAGCCATTTCGACAATTTTAAATTAAAAGGGTATTACCCTTAATTCGATTATGTAATTTGATTGAGTCATATACATAAGGCTAACATGCAAATATTAATTAAAAATAATAATTATCTACTTAATAAATATATTAAAAATACTAAACAATATACCATCTTAATACAAAAAAAATATTTACACGTACTATGTAATTATAAGTTATAAATTATAAACCATACATACTAACATATAATGTACAAATGTGACTTAAATATAAAAATAAAAACATAAAATGCCAAAGTAATAAATTTAAAATATATATATTTGAAATAATGACTAAATTTAAATGAATGTGAGATTAAACATGTAAATTAAAAAAACTAGTGGCCTAAATCAAAAT